ATAAGTATAATTGATAGAAAAATTTTCTATCAATTATAGTGATTTAATTGATAGCTATTGCCTATCGATTTTTTTTTTATGATTTTATATTATACATAATCAATAGTCATATCCGTCAATTATATCAATTATACATGTCATCCATAGCCATTTTTATCAATTATCTATGTGTAATCGATAGTTATTGTTTATTGATTGTAATTTTCAAATTTGTAAAACTGTAATCGCTAGCCAAGTTTGTCAATTATAAACATATAATTATAATCGACAAACTTGGCTATCGATTATGTTATTTTTGGATAATAAAAAATTTGCAGAAATGTAATTCTGCTTGCAGTTATTTAATTAAATAATAGAACATTAACCAAAGTAGATGTTGGACAATCATGTACCACAACAATATATATGTATGTATACAAATAAATCTACAAAAACTAATTGAAAAATTGGAATATTATGCAAATATTATGAGAATAATGAAAAAAACAGTGACAAATAATTTATCTATAATGAGATAGTTTGGGTATAAAAAACTATAAAAAAAAATAAAAGAAAATAAAATAAACATTATTACTATAGTTAAACTTTTTAAAATTTTACAGAAACAAAAAGAAAATAAAAACATATATTAAAAGTACCGTTAGAAGTTATCTTATAATATATGCTCAAGTTTAATAAATTGCAAAAAAAAAATATTAGATCAAATAAAAACAATTGGCTAATATAGAGAAAAAAAAAAAAACCAAGAATTAGAAAGGTATAAGGAATTATAGGGAGAAGGTGAAATAATATGAAAACAATGAGAAGCAACCAATTATTAGAATGGTAGAGTTTAGGGGAGAAGGGAATGAAAGAACTAGAAAGGTAGAAGGAAAGAGAGAAGATGAAGCAAGGTAAAAAAGAGAAATGGGGGGCACACATCTACAAGACAAGGAGAACGAGAAAAGTAGAAGAAGATGAAATAAGAAGATGTTTGAAGGTTCTATTTCTGCCTCCATGTATAAATAGGGAGTATAATCGACAACATTTTTGTCGGTTCTACTTAAAATACATGTTAGTTATATTTTGAATTGGTTACACCGTGAAATTCAATTTTTTTTAGCTAGGGTAGGCATGATGCATCTATTACCGACAGCATTTATTAGCTGTTGGTTATGTTCATATAATCAACATCATTATAACGGCTATAGGTTATGTCAAAATTATATATATATATATATCCTAAATCATAAATTTAACAATAAAAATTTAATACTATACAATGTGAGTTTCTTTTAATTAATATGATATGTATTATTTTTTTTTATCAATTTATCAAATTTAACACTACATATTTATAGTTAGTTTAATCATTATATATACACAAAATATATACTAAAGTGTTTATATACTCATGTACAGATGAACATAAACATGAACATAGATACCAAAAACATCCAATATCAATATCCCTAACCATAGGGTGATATGTGGTTAGATGGATCAAATCCGGACCCTTGGTAAGAAGGACCACCGATCTAGGGTGGCACAAAGCCTGCAAATGAATACTACTGACTAAGCAAGCAAATATGCTCTTGAAACCTTCTATCAAAAGCAGCCTTTATCTCTGATACTCTCTATGATACCTCCAATTGAACTCGCTCTACCACCTCCCTCTAAACTTGATCTACCATTTCTTGCCAAACCTGCTTAGCTCAGACTGCAACTATTGGACCTATGTCGTAAGTAACTTGGTGGTGGAGGATGAGGCCTCCCTAATCTCATATCATCACCAAGGTATGTCGTGCTCTGCTGGGTCTTGTAGGCTAGAAATTCCTCTCATCTAACCTTTTTTAGGGGTCTAACCACATCTTTCCAAATAAATGGATCCCATTGTGGCCATAAATCCTTATTTGGCCCATGCTTCTCCATATACTTATAGTGGGCATCATTCTATTTCAAACATAAATTCCCATTAGTTACAATTATCCAAATTCTACTAAAATTAATTATAATAAATGTAAAGGGAATTGGATACTTACATATGTCTGCTCTGCCTCTGGACATACCCAAACAGGTGAGGTACCTTTTATAGCATCTCTCTGCCAAGTTGTGTGAGTCAGCATGTACGACTCTAATAGTGCAAGCCTAACTCCCCCTCTCTTGGCTACCTGTTAAGAACATAAAATAAAATTATATTTTTATAACTTTTAACATTATATGCAATTAAAATTATATATAAAAGCATATTCCACTAACTAGTAAATCCTCATGGATTCCAATTGCAGTGTATGCAATTGTGTGGCTCACATGGGCACCCTTTGCCCAGTTCGTCGACCTCTATCTTGCAAGGCAAGGTATTTTGGGCTCATCCAGTTTGCATGTAGAATCTTGAAGGTCTCTTTATGCATGAACTCAAGCAATTTTTTTCTCATTTGCCATCTCTTTCAAACTAGATGAAACTCGTCATGAAAGCAGTATCAACTATATAATCGCCAAATTCTGTACACATGAGTCATCCTCCTCCCAACAGTATGTCCTCTACACAAGATAAAAATTAATTAAATTAATCAATAATGTCATAACCCGACTTTTACTAAGGCTGAATAAAGATATCAGAAGCCAATGGACTATATTGTAAAAGGTATGAAACATGAAGGACAGAAAAGAGGAATTACTAAAACGATGTAGTTTTGCTAAATTAAAAGAAAATGACAAGGTCCAAATGAACCCTAGCTATCCATGATTCTTCTTCTGCTCATGATTCCTTTTGCTTGTTAGCTAACATTTCTCTCATATCTCCCAAGAATCTTCAAATTCTTGTGCTTTATCTCTAAATCTACTTGAAGGCTGGATAAGGTCCAACATCAAGTGAAGAGATTTTTAGAGTTTGAAGTCAATTAGCAAGAAATCAAAGTTCACAAGACATAAGGACTTTGGAATTCAAACTTGGGAGTCCTAGTCTTTAAGAGGTATGAATTTAGCCTTGAAAGAGAGAAGATGCGTGAAGAACTAAGTCAATTTTAGAATTCCAATTCCAAATAGGATTGGGTTATTATCTAAAATTAAGATTAGGGCTTAGGAACATGAAAGGGTTAGGGTTCTATTTTCATTTGTATAAATAAAGGATTTGACTGCTTAAGGAGGGGAGAAGAAACTCAAGAAGAATTTGAGCAAAATTTGAGAGTTAGCAAAGAGGGTGTGAAATAGAGGAGCAAAGCAAGAAAATCTTGTACTTTTGGAGCTTTCTGCAAATAAATAAAATTGGATTTCTCTACTTCTTCAAGTTTGTTTTTATCTAAGAACATAGAAGAATTTTAAGTTTGAATTTTTTCCATAAAAATCATGCCCAATTCACTTTATCTGTTTTCTTTTTCTTCCTTTCTTTTGCTATGGGTAATTTCTTGGTTTCCCTATTAATTTTTTTTTTTCTATAGATTGTCCGCAAATGATCTTGATGAAGAAAATATATATTGGTGCATTCATGTTTTCTTTCTTCGTTTGTTTTTCTCCTGTTCTATATATATGATTGTTAGGAATCATGCCAATAGGTTTTTTTTTTTTTTTTT